GCGGCGATGAGAGGTTGAGAAGCTCAGCAGTTTGAGGGACATGCGGAAAGTCTCAGAGAATAGGAGCGACCGCCCAACAGCTCAGTCCCCTTAGCTGGGTTCACGACAGAGAGGAGCGGTGGAAGCGTGAGGGGGAGGGGGGGCCGAGGTGTAGCGGGGAGCGGATGTGAGTAGGAAAGTGAGTAGGAAATAATGTGAAGCGGAAAAGAGAGATCTAATTTTAATTTGCGTGGACAATTTTTTTTTTTGCGGATTGGTTGGTTCTTCGATAGACTAAGTTTGCAGTCACAAAATATGATGCGTGCAGACCCAATTTTACATTGTTCTTAGCTGTTCATCGTTCTATAACCGGCTTTTTCTTATGGCCATACGATGCCATTAGTAAACCCAACAACAAAAATTTAGTGACTTTTAACCTTAAAACTTTAGTCTTATTGACAGAGCAGCAGAAGAGCCGTAGATAGAATTAAAGTAGAGTAGTAACAAGGAGTTTTTCCCACGAATGAAACATATCAGAATCTCATCATAATAATATAGTAATTGACCTGAAAAGCTCTCAAGTTTAGAAAATTCGTGTATAGTAAACACGTGCCCTTGTTGCACAGAACTTGTTGCCCATGGGCACGTTTGCCCTTGATGCCACCCACACCAACACTGCTCCCCCACAGAAGACTTATGCCCGAACCAACAAGACAATGATAACACAGTCATAAGAACGAAAAAACCGGGGACGGCCACAAGGGCGAACGAAAACCCGGACTGCCAGAGAGGAAGGACCGGGCCGAGGCCACGGAGGCGAAGGGGCAACCACAAACGGGCGCAGGGCGATCCCTCCCTGCCTCCCAGAATGACCTGACCGAACAGAACTAGCCTTATAGGTGTCGCCAACAAGCAGGCACCAATAGGAAGATGCGAGCCAGGGATGGGCAAAGCTGCTTTGTAGATGGTAGACAGTTTGGTAGCGGCTTTGCGCCTTTATAAACACAGACATTGTGACTTGTGGAGAAATGCTACATCAGTTTGGCAGCTTTTTTAAGTCGTTCGCGAAGAGGCCTGCGAGATAGGATGGATACTTGCGTAGGAGAGGGCATTTGGGACGGTTCCTAAAATAGATCAGGTCATACAGTGGCTGGAGTTAGCGGCGCCTTAGCAGTGAATGTGAATCCATGTATTGTGAGTATGGTTTTGTTCTTTGCTGAACTGGGCAAGGATCCTCAGTGTAATCTTCTCCATTAAACCCTCGAGCCAAACAACCTCCGGAATCATGAACTCAATCGATATCTCTGCCCTAGACAGGTGCACCTATAATGCTGTCATACGCACTATACATATATACTTGTTGCGAATATCCCTCTGGCAAGGCAGCCCGGAGGCGCAGATCCTGGCGGATCTCGAGCAGCGGACTCAGGACCAGAGGGTCCAATGACGAAAGACAGGCCGCTGGAAGCGGATCTAGAAGAAGACGACAAAAAGCAGCGGAAATGTAGGAACGAGGTCACCTGTAAAGGCGACGGGGAGAGAAGCGGAGGAGAGCAGAAGACAGGAAGGGACGAACGACCGCAGACAATAAGACGATCATGACTGCATCGGGATAGAGAAGAGAGATCGAGAGCGGAGGCCGAAGACGAGAGGCGCGCGCGCGGCTGACATATAGGGGTGGAGGGTGGAGTGTGAGCAGGGAGGGAGGTAGGAAGATCGCGAGGAAGCGAAGAGGCTGGCGAGAGCCGGCACGAAAGCGGAGAGAAGAAGAGCAGCCAAACGGGAAGACACCGAGCGAAAGAGGGAAGCGGGGTAAAACGGCGAGAAGATAAAAAAAAGTGGGGCACCACGGGGGAGGGGAGAGGAAAAGACAGCAGAGGACGGAACGAACGAGGGATAAGAGAGAGCGCGAGAGGACGAGGGGAGGAAGAACAAAGGAACGAGAAGAAAGAAGTAGAGGGCCGCGCCGCCGGAGGCCAGCGAGCTACCGCGCAAGGAAGGGACACAACAATCGGGAGGTCCAGGGCAAAGCAAAAGAGACAGGGACAGAGGATAGAACGGCGAGAATGGGAAACTCGGCAAGGTAGCAAGACATATACCAAGTCCAAGGAAGCGCGGGTTCATAAAACCCTTCATATTCATACTGTCATTTGCGGGGATATCCAACAAATCTGTTTCAGTACCCAGACAGGACAGCATTCGCCCATACAGGGCTCATGCCGTCCTGTCTGGGCACTGTAACATATACATACATACATACATGAAATTATAGTTCATAGCATACCAGCCATATATAGAATCTGTTTCACATACCGGCTATTTGGTGTTGAAAGGCGTCTCTAGTTCTCCTGACCAAAGCAAGTATCTCATCTCCGCCTTCTCTGGCTGCCACTAGTGCATGCAGATCCAAGGTCCTCAGATATACTGTCGTACTTGAGTTTCTCCACTCTCAGCCACTGACGCTTCCTCAGAAACAGCCTCACGTACAGCTGCTTCTCACAACCTGTTACACCAGTTTAGTAGCCATTCAAACTACACATCCAATTGCATGCATCTATAGTATTCTATAATAAATCTAAACCTACCAGACAGACTCATAAAGCGTTCAACTGCAAATCTCTCGTCCTCAGTAAAAAACATGTCTCTCTGGACAGTCCTCGGAAAGGACACTGCAGCACATGGCCCTGAAGTTTGCAGAGAAATACGCCTCATCGTCGCTCTCCCTCCCAGTCGTCTTCTTTACGTCGTTATAAACCTTCACTTTCGTTCTCTCGGTACCATTCTCCCCTCTCCCCCTCTTCTTCCAGTCGGCGCTATCCGTATCTACCTCCCCTCTGCCCGTCGCCGTCGTCCCCGAGACGATGTCTTCAGTTGCTGCAGGAGGCCGAGCCCTGCGTCGCGCAGTGTTCTATCATGACAAGCTGTGGCAGCAATAGGCCTGGATCGGGACAGTGAGAGCTTCAGTTTCCGCCGTTTCCCTGGCGGTTCGCTCTCCCCTTCCTCCACCATGCTGAGGTCAAAGTCTGCACGCTGGTTGCAAAACACGCATGCGCAAATATCCAGTTTACAAAAATCTGTATGATTGGGCTATTCTACTTAGATTGGCTGTTCTTCTTCGTCTTCTTCAGAAATTGAATCCCATCTTTGAAAATACGAATCGTCAACTTTAGGAGGTGCACCTGATAGAGGAAAGGTAGCTAGCTACAATAAACTAAGCAACTATTATCTGTCTCCAACCTCTTTTATCAAGTGCTGTCCACTGGAGTCCTTCTGCTTTTTTCATCCTCAGCTCCACCTGATAAGGTTTGTTAACAATCAATATTACCACAATTCAAAGCAATTTACCTTTGTTTTGAGGCATTTCATGAGACATTTGTCTGGCAGGATGTCGTGACTGGTGTGGAGGGAGAGTCTGTAGGGAGATGCTCCAGTTTCAATGAATACCTTCACCTAGTGTGTAATGGGGGGAGTATATATAACACAGTACTAATATATGCGGAGTAGACTATAATTGTGTTAGCAAGGAGATGTACTATTGCGATGTGAGCAGTGAGCACCCACAATAACCTTTTTGTCAGTAAACTCCACTAAGACGTCATTCTCCTTCACGTTGGGTATCATGACGTGCAGAACCACCTCAGACGGAGTCTGGTACCACTCGTAGCGCTGATTGCACCTCTGACCTCCAATGCTGTGCTCTCCAGTATTGAATCTAAGACTCTGCAGCAGATCTTCCCCAGCCGGTACCTGGAGCCCTACTTCCCTCTGAGACTGTCCTCTTCCTGGTTGGCTGTAAGATTTACAGCATAACGCTACACAATGGCAGTCAAAAAGAATTGCTCACTGTTTCAAAAGTTTTGGTTTGGTTACAACTCTGTATAATTTTTTGCAAAGGCCCAATGAGTGAAAAGCTTGACCATTTTCTTATATACTCAAAATTATTGTGTACAATTTGTATCTGGGGGCAATTTTAATGAGTGCCAGTGCAGAAGGAATGAACCTACCAATGTGGCTGATCTTGAGCCCATTGTTGTCTTGGCTGACCGGCTTTTCGGTCTCTCTCTGTCTCGCTGAAATTTCAATGAAATCCAAAAGTATAGCCTCCAAAAAAGGATCCTCTGAATAAAGGATAACCTCTATATAATGGACACCGATACGTTAGTGTCTTACACTACAGTGGAACTTCTGATGCGGGACCCTCCGAGGTAGGTACGACTTCTCTACAATAGGACACTTGTTTCAACCCCATGCTAACACTTTAGTGGATTGTTTGACCTCTGAGATAGGGACGACCTCTCTACAAGGGAAAAACTTGCTGTCCCTTCTTTGGAGGTTCAACTGTAGCTAGCTCCGACTTCAAATAAAGGAGACCTCAGAATAAGGGATACTTTTAATGAAGGTTTCCCATATTCAGAGGTTACAATGTAGTCAGTGTAGTGTAGTCACACAGAACGCTACAGTTGATTGACATACCTCTCTCATTTGCTGGATTTCATTCTGAAGTCTGATTCTGGTTGCCTTCTCAAACTGCAGTTCTTTTCGGAGTTCCTCCTTTTCGGCCTCCAGTCTGCGTTTGTCGCTGTCATACTCCCCTGCAGCTCTCTCCCTGTCCCTCCTCTCCGAATCAAAGTCATCCTTAAACACTGCCGCCTAAGGATTAAAACATAGCTGTTCATTTTTGTGATTTCCACTTACACACACACGTATGCATTCATACAGAGAGCCTAATGTATGGTGGGAAACTATCAGAAAGAAACTCTTTGTTGCAAATTTCATGGTTCTGGAACCTCTTATAAGGAACCCTCTGGGATAAGGACAGGACACCTTGTTTGACACTTGTTTCAACCCCCATATTTGACTGGGAGGTAGGTACGACCTCTCTACAAGGAACAAAATCATTGATCCCATAGATTCCCTTGTTTGGAGGTTCCACTGTATTAAAAGGTATGGTTGGAACCATGGCACGGTAGAAAAAAGGTGTTTTCTCTGTTTCTACAAGCAAAAAGTTTACTCCTGTATACAATATTTAGCAGAGTATTTGGATCACAAGTTATACAAGAGAGTGAACCTCTGCAAGGAGTGTGTATGTAGAGTAAGCCACCGATAATCGGACGCCATGTATTCTCGGACGCATTTGTGAAGTCCGTGCAGAACTAGATTGGCTACTGTATATACCAAAGTGTAGTTCTTGGTCATAAACTTTAAAAATATTCGCTCTTATCCGAGCTTTACCGTGGGAATGGCGTTGCCGTAAAGTTACGATTCGGGTACAGCAAAGATCGGACCAGCGCATCAAAGGTAGGACAGTCTCCCACAAACGGGAACAGTATGAATGATCGAAGGGAGTGTATGCTCGATTGATAGCTCTACCTTTTGGCTATGCAGCGACCCACAGTTGGCCCATTTGGTGCAGGCATCTAATATAAGGCAAGAAGAATGAGGAGAAAAATTTAGAGCTTCATCGGGGAGGTGTGTTAGAAGAAACAAGCCGGGAAGTTGGGAACTGCTTTTCGCGGCTTACGCGACCCCGCCTATTTACGTTTTCGTGGGCAAAAAGAGCGAAGACAAAAATGGGCCAACTGTGGGTCGCTGCATAGCCAAAAGGTACAGCTATCAATCGAGCATACACTCCCTTTGATCATTCATACTGTTCCCGTTTTGCGAGACTGTCCTACCTTTGATGCGCTGGTCCGATCTTTGCTGTACCTGAATCGTAACTTTACGGCAACGTCATTCCCACGGTAAAGCTCGGATAAGAGCGAATATTTTTATACAACAGTTTATGACCAAAAACTACACTTTGGTACACACAGTAGCCAATATAGTCCTGCACGGACTTCACAAATGCGTCCGAGAATACATGTTGTCCGATTATCGGTGGCTACTCTATATACACGGACCTGAGTCTCAGCCAATCGCAATTCATCCCCGGTCTGCTTGATCTCAGCTTGAAGGAGACCGTTTTCCGTTTGCAGTCGCTGCATCCTGGATGACCACAGCTCAACGGCCTTGAGTTCCTGTGTTTGCATAGAGACAACTACACTCTTCTTTACTCTATACACACTTGCACTTTCATTTACTTGTAGCTACAGTTGTAATCACACATACTAGCTATTATCCTACTCATCTACAAGGGGATCCCCACCCCATTTGTGGTATCTAGCTACTACTCTATACGGATCGGCATAATGTGTACCCTTTTCAACTTCTCTGTTTCCCTGTACATATCGTAGAAGGTGGTGAAGTTGCAGGGATGCTGTAGGCTCAGTCTGTCCAGTTCATCCCTCACATACTTCATATCTGGCCTCTTTTCTGGATTATCCTGAAGACATTTTCTGGTCATCTCGTGTAGCTGACGGTGCTTGCTGCTTAGCATGTCCATCGCAGCTTGTCGTTTGGTAATCTGGAACTCCCCTCTCCTTCTGGCCTTGCCCACCTCGCAGGGCAAGGGGAACTCTTGGTTGAGTGTGTGGAGGATAAGTGTCCCGTAGGAAAACACGTCGAGTTTTGTGTTGTAGGCTGGGCTAGGCTGAAGGGCCTCTGGTGGCATGATGCCAAGTGTTCCAGGACAGTTGGTCAACTTTGTACTGGAGAGTGGGTTAAACGCCAATAGCTTCGAGGTTCCGAGATCTGCGAGCTTGGCATGCATGTCTCGGGCAAGCAGAACGTTTGCTGCCTTGACGTCCCTGTGGATGATGGGCGGGCGGTGCATGTGCAGGTAGACTAGAGCGTGACTGGTGTCCAGGAGGAAGCTCAGTTTTAGAAACAGAGGAACAGTGTCTTTGGCCTGGTTGTGGTTCTCCAAGAACTGCTCGAGGTCTATGTAGAGGCCCTCCATGATGAGGGAGACGTCACGCGGGTGTGCAGAGTCCTTGGCTCTGTGGATGCCCATGAACTGGACGATGTTGGGGTGGTGGAGGGTGCTCAGGATCTTACACTCCTGCATGAACTTCTCCGAGACTGTTACCACGCCTTCGTCAGCAGGACCGGCATCTTGTAGAACGTCGTGTAGTCGTTTGGCAATGCAGGTGAACCCGTGGACTTTCACCGGGTACACGGCTCCGTAGCTGCCCTTGTTCAGATCCCTAGTGCGTCCCTGCGGCCAGGACACAGAGTCCGAGCGGAGCATTAGCTCCTCACAAGACGAATCATCGACCATCTCCGTTTTTTCCTCCTTCCGATCCAGCACACGTTCCAGTATGACGCTTGTAGGGAGGTGTGGCTGGGACGTCATTGTTTTTAGAAGCGCCAGCTGATCTTGTAGTCACAACACAAAAACAAGCAAGGGGTTATTGCTTCTGGTCGGTGGAGCTGCTAGCCGTACTGTGTTGTCTGCGCCGTGCAGTCTGAACGTGGACGGCAGGGCTCCCGAGGTGGACGTCCTGATCTTGGGAGCAGGGATCACCACTGGAGATGAACGGTCTCACAGACTTTCTGGTCCTGGAGGCAGGCGACAGGATAGGAGGTCGGATCAGAGAGGACGACAGCGCGGGCCTGTAACTGGGGGCTAACTGGACCCACGGACTGGACATGAGGGGACACCCCATCTGGAGAGAGTGGACAGCCTGTGACGAAGATGATCCTGATGGCAGTGTCACTCCCTTTGACTTAACCGGGTCTACAACAGCTCTGGTGGTGTGTACGGCATTTGGGACGAGAAAGGTACGTACTTGAAGAGAAAGGCGGTGTTTGATGAGGCGTACAAGAAAGCTTGCCAGTTGGTGATGATCTTGGCTGATGACATTTCCCTCAGGGAGGGCTTCATGAAGGAGGGATGGACGCCACTCGCTCCACTAGACAACTTTACTGAGTGGGCCAAGTGTGACTTTGACAGTGTCATCACACCAGATGAAGCATCCTTGCTCTTTTACTTCCCTCCATACACCTACTATGCCTTCTTGGGCCCAGAGCCGAATGCTACGGCTCGTGGACTATTATACCTTGTGACTGATAGGAAGGGGTACTCCTTCGTGACAGAGTGCCTTGCGAGAAATTGAACTTCAAGAAAGATCGTGTGAAATTCAACTCTGTTGTGACTGCAGTACGCATGGCAGAGGACTGTGTGTGGCAACTGTGAATGGATCTTCACGATACTGTGGGAGGTATGGCATTGTGACCTTTAGTATAGGAGCCCTCCATGCAACATTATTAACGAAGAGGAGAACTCTCTTCGTTTCAAACCACCGCTGCCTGACTGGAAACAAGATGCCATCAGGAATGCCACCCCAGTCTACTACGGCAAGGTTCATCTCCTCTTCAACTCTTCTTCTTGGAATGTCACCGAGGAAGACCAGCAGGTCCTGGGATACGTCTCTAACGAGGCCTATTACATTCTAGACAAACTAACCCCAAATGTCATCACTGTTGACGTTGCTGAGAATCTGGACCTGAGAGTCTCAAAACGGAGTAAAAAAGAGACCATGTATGAAGTCATGACTATTCTCAGAAAGATATTTGGGCCAGACATACCGGATCCATACAGGGCTCTCTCGTATCGAAATGGAGCAGTGATCCCTTGTTCCGCTGTGCCTTTACGGCCTACCGCACAGGAGTCCCAGAAGCTGTCTTCGACCTTCTAAAGCCAGTCAATGACAGTCTGTATTTTGCAGGAGAGAGTATGAACAGCAGTGACTATGGCTACACCCACTCTGGCTACGGCTATGTGGCACACCAGATAGCCCAACTCCAGTCACCTTAAATGTAGGCCAGCTAACCAGCTAACATTGATTCAGCAACATGAGCTCTGATGTGCGTTGCTAAACACTCTCTAATAAGAAACCATAACATCATAATGTTTGGGGAATGTGGCGGAAATGTACAGAAATTTCAAGCAAAAATGTATAGGACATTTCCTCATGTACAGGAAGAATACAAGGATTTTTCCTGCACGTAGAGCAGAAATATTTCCTCTATTTCTTCCTGAAATTCTTCCTACACTTTTCGTAATTCTTCCTTCTGTAATAACTTTTAATTTTTCACTCTGTCATAATGCATTGTACGGACTACTATTATCGTTCACTTCACCCCGCCTACTATTGTATGAGCATGCACACGAGATGGGAGCTTCTGAGCCATGCTAATGGCGGAAAGAGTTGCAGTGGAGCTCCTCATCGAAGCCTATAATACATACGCAAATCCCAACGTCACTCCTGGGGTGACTCACCTGTATAGGTTTCTCGGTGTTTTTTGCTGAGCCACGCTAAACGGCGGAAAGAGATTCCATTACATGTCTTCCTAGACATTTCTTAACACTTAACCAGCCACGGACGCACAAACGTGTCCAGAGCTTCCATAAGTCCATATGAATTTATATGGGGGTTATAATAGCTACTAGGTGCATATATAAAAAAATTCAGCTTTTTAAAAAAGATACTCATGGAATCCAAAGGATTAAACCACAGGGAGCATGCTTTCGGCACGCTTGCATGTGCAGAAAGATTTTCAGTTAATTGACATTGGTTTCTTTACACCCTCACTGAGCAGAGCACACATACAGAGCGTGTTATGGGTATGGCGCTGGGCCAAGATTAATGTTCAGGTTCAGGTCAGGGACACAAGGACTCAATAATGAGAGTCTTGAGGGAGGGAAGGGGTGAAGGAGTCTGTGTTGGTGTGTGTGTGTGAGTATCCACTGTACATTAGTTGACCTGCAGAGGAAGTTTGAGGATGGTTTGAGCATTTCCAGTTACTTGAGTCAGCAATGCATCCTTTGTGTTGAGTAGTGAGTTGTGGGAATATAATTATTTTAGACGTTTTGGAGCTAAGAAAAGTATTATGGCGATAATCCCAGTGTTCAACAATCTCACCCATACAAATTAACCAATTGTCTGGTGAAATGCAAGGTGCCACTGGTAGAAGAGATGAGCTAAGTATGTGAGTTTGAGTTGAGACAGACACCAGTTTAATAATGGTTCAAACCATTGATGTGGTACACATGCTGGTAAACTTTTATCATAGGCAGCTGAGAATACTCATATAGTACAGTCAAAGATAAACACAACAAATGCTGTAGTTTTACAGATCCTCGTATGACTAACTAACGACTCTATGTCAACGTATGACCATCGTCATCAATAATCAATATCCTCAGGGGCTAAGAGAGGAGGAAGTGGAGGTGGGGGAGTCCCTTCATCACAATCAATCTCGGTCCGCTCTAGAGAAAAAAACTGCAGCTTCCTCGTTATAAGCAACTCCAGGGGCACCCTCATTATCTCTTATTAGAACCTGTGTGGAGGGATGGCTGGAGCTCCTTCATTACCACAGATCAAGGCCCTGTGTGGGGGGATGGGTGGAGCCCCTTCATTATCACCCGATGTGGCTCTGCGTGGAGGCAGAACTGGGGCAGGAGTGTTGTCTGAGATTGGGAGCTCTACCTCTGGATCATCTTTGACTGGGAGAGCCCATGCAATAAATTTATTACTAGAGGAATGCAACAGATTATTTGCAAGCGAAGTGATGAAGCGTCAACATGTTTTGTACGTTGTATGTACAGTGCCTGTTACATCATTAAAACGACAAGGAAGGCCAAGTGCAACATTCATGCTGTTTTAGATTGTGCATAGGAACCTAGTTTTATGGTAGTATGGTCAGTGGCTACTTTCTAAAGACTGCATTTCTTTACTGGTACACTTATCTGCAGTCCAAAGATCATGCTGCTATGTTCGTTTGACAAACACCACATCGAAAGTTTCTGGTTCATTAGCAGAAAACAGTCAATTGAGTCAAAGTCACAGTTATTACAGAAAAATTTGGGTAACTATGGTGAATGCATGCTCAGGTGGGCCTAAAATAACACAAACAGTCTGGACATTTCTGTTTTATATACAGACACCGGTGGACTATACAGTATAGTAAAAGTCCCGTCACGACTCTAGCAGAGGAAAGAGTATATGTACTGGTGAGGTAGTTTAAACAAGGCCACCCCTGGATAAACAACTTTGCACGGAAACACAATCATTCTCAGCATTTCAGAAAAACACTTGTTTCGGAAATACATTTACCATGCTAAAACTCACCGGTGATGTAAGCATTGCTAATGGCCTCGGATAGCTGGTTGAAACCAATCTGCTCACAGAGGGAGAACACATCTGACCACCTCACACACTCCTTTCTCTCATACCACTGAAACACCACCTCTGCCAGCTTGGCACTGTCATCACCCAACTCCACGAGACAGTTTAGTGGACATAAACTACGAGTGCGCAGCACGAGTAGTGTATGCACTAAACCGTCGAGTTGGCTTAGTGTAACCTATATATACACTGTGTGCGGGGACTTTCACTATACTGTATAGTCTACCGGTGTCTGTGGGTTACGAGCTAAAAACAATGAAAATGCTGACCAGGAGATTTCGTGACTCAAAACTTTGAAGAACTGACCGAAAATTCTGCCTATTGCAATTGTGAGCATTAGGAACTGAGAGTCTAAACATTTAGAGAAAGAATGTCTTCATTCAAACAGAAATCGTTCGTTGCTGACCAAGGGGATGAAGATGAGTGGGCTCCTCATTGTTCCCCTCCTGCTCCCCTTGACCCTGTGATCTTCCATCGTTAGAAAAAAACCTCGCCTCGAACCGGCTCCTGTGGTGTTTGACGACATGGCTGCTTTTCCACTGGCTCTAGAGTACTGGACCATCTCCCCAGTCACTGGTGGTGGTGGGAGAGCTGAGCTGGTGGTGAGGAGCTCAATCTCAGCATTATGTTCCAACGAACTAGTGTAAAAAGGTTTGATTTGATTTTTCCATCACAAGAAAACAATATAGGTATATACAGTATGAAAACTTTCCTGATATCTCTGAGCCCCCATGGATTATTATGGTAGCTATATTACGTTATTCTTGTGCTACACATAATTATGACATGTGCATAAAGATAGTTGGGAGAGAGAACACATCCCTATGAATCTGGAACTTCTCTCCTCTCACCAGCTAGCTATAATTATATATAATAATTTAGACAGAAGTGCTAATGAAGAAGAGTGTGTTTATAGTGTGTACAGTGATTAGATATGTGTTTGAGTACAGTAAAAAGAAACGATGCAAATAAACACTGAAAGAGCCTATGAGGTTGAAACACACTGAGGGTGGATGTTTCTTATTTGGTTTTACTATATATAGGAAACACTTTGTTGTATATAGGTGACGTTCATTTTCTTTTTACCCCCACTTGAATACAGTGTTATGAGTTGTCAGCAGTAAATTGAATGTCACATATAATATTGATGCTGGGCCAAGATTAAACGTTCAGGTCAGGTCAGGGAAAGCATAATGAGCTGGAGGGAGGGAAGGGATGAATGAGTCTGTGTTAGTGTGTGTGTGTGTATCCAGTGGTACCTTTCTTAGTTACCTGCAGAGGAAGCTGACAATGAGCACATGATATAGTTTTCAGACACCATCCTTTGTGTTGAGTACTGAGTTGCAGGGAGATAATAATGTTTGATCTTTTAGGTTATAATCCCAGTGCTCAACAATCTCACAAAAACAGTATCAGACTGCGTCTGGTGAAGGTGTCGCTGGTGGAAGAGAGTGTCTTTGAGTTGAGACAGATACCAGTTTAATGAAAAGCACTAAAGTGCAACACCCTTGGCGAGCTGCTCATGCGTGATACCGCTAATTGTTGGGCTGGGCTCTTAGTATGCGTGTAACTTCTCTCCTCTCACCAGCTAATCATTTAGACAGAAGTGCTAATGAAGAAGAGTGTGTTATAGTGTACAAGTGATTAGATAATATGTGTTTCGAGTAGCTACAGTAAAAGGAAACAGACATAAGGAAGTAAACACTGAAAGAGCCTATGTGGGAAGGTTGAAAACACACTGAGGGTGGATGTTCCTTATTTGGTTTAACTATGGAAACATGACAGCAGGACTGTACGCCAACACAGTACAGGAAATAGCAGCAACTTCAATGAGGTAACGCAAATAAAGTTCACCTTTTCTTCTTTACCAACGACATTTTGTCGCTTTGTTATTCATAAGAATAAAGGTGACGTTCATTTTCTTTTTACCCTCACTTGAATACGGAGTGTTATGAGTTGTCAGCAGTTAATTGAATGGGGGGAGGGGCAAGGAATGGTGTCACTGGTGGAAGAGTGTGTCCTTGAGTTGAGAAACAGATATATACCAGTTTAATAATGATTTTTATTCGTTCAAACCATAGATGTGGTAGACATGCTGGTTCTTATTGCAGAAGCTTTTTTGCAGCTTAGAAAATCTCATAAACACGTATTGCACAAAGACAAAACAAAAAATTAATGAACAATTAATGCTGCAGTCTTATTGATCCTTGTATGACTTAAACTAATGATTAAAGTAAATCTATTTCAGTAGTAATCAAAAATCAATATCCTCAGGGGCTAAGGGAGGAGGAAGTGGAGGAGGTGGGGGAGTCCCTTCATCACAATCACTCTCGGTCCTCTCTAGAGAAATAGCTGCAGCGTTATAGGCAACTCCAAGTCTGTGGCTATGGGAGGAAATGGCAGGGGCACCCTCATTATCTCTAATTAAAACCTGTGTGGAGGGACTGCTGGGGCTCCTTCATTATCACAGATCAAGGGCCTGTGTGGGGGGATTGCTGGAGTCCCTTCGTTATCACCCGATGTGGCTCTGCGTGGGGGCAGAACAGGGGCAGGAGTCTTGTCTGAGATTGGGAGCTCCACCTCTGGATCATCTTTGACTGGGAGAGCCCCTGCAATAAACAAAAGAACATCTAGGTTAGTAGAGGAATGCTTGGCAAGCGAAGTGGTGAAGCGTCAAATGTTTCGCGTGTGTGGTACTTATCTGCAGTCCAAAGATCATGCTGCTAGCTATGTTCGTTTGCCAAACACCACATCGAAAGTTTCTGGTTGACTAACCCAAAACAGTCAATTGAGTCAAAGCCACAGTTATTACTGAAACTTTTGGGTAACCATAGTGCATGCATGCTCAAGTGGGCCTAAAAAAACTCTGGACATTTCTGTTCTGTACACTGTACACAGACATTACTGGCAGACTATACAGTATAGTGAAAGGAAAGAGTATATGTACTGGTGAGGTAGCGTAAACAAGGCCACCCCTGGATAAACAACTTTGCGCGGAAACACAATCATTGTCACCATTTCAGAAAAACACTTGAGTTGCGGAAATCCGTTTACCATGGTACGATAAAACTCACCGGTGATGTAAGCAGTGCTAATGGCCTCGGATAGCTGGTTGAAACCAATCTGCTCACAGAGGGAGGACACATCTGACCACCTCACACACTCCTTTCTCTCATACCACTGAAACATCACCTCTGCCAACTTGGCACTGTCATCACCCAACTCCCCGTCAATCTGCAAAACAATGTTATTCTTATGCTAGACCATGTTCACAATCAGCTAGCTACATTCTATCCACTGTAATGAATGTGTCATCAAAGACGTATAGAAAGGCAAGTTAAAGCAGACAAGTCAACTACGCCCAGGATAACTCTTTCTGGAACTGCCTTTCCCACTTCCTCTGCTTCCTGCCTAATTAAGGTCCATAGAATTTCGGTTAATCGTGGTGACCTTAGAATAGTGTGATTCGAAGCTACGGCACTGCATTCTAGGTGAGTGCTCTACCAATTGATGTAGTGGTGCTCTGTTGGTGTGTACATTATAAGGTCACACCCACCATATCCATAGTCTCCCTCTCCAGTCCAGCAGCCTCACCCAGAGCACGCCAACACGACTGTACAGTCCTCAGTTGGAGCAGGATTAAGTGAACACTGATATCCTTGTCTGATAGTGAATAAAAGCACAGTGGGTCCAGGCTAATATCATACCCACCGTGCATACAAAATATATGATAATGGGAATATTCAACAATTTGGGTGTGTATAATGCGGGTGCACGGGTATACATGGTATACTGTGTATACTGATGTATACTTTGACCCAGATAGCGCACAATGCAGTTTGTTTAGCTAAGCTAATCAAGATAAGCTAACCTATCTGTTTACATAAGCTAATGGAGCCAGGTGGAGACAAAACTCCAGGCCAAGGTTGTTGAATGCCTAATTACGCATGCACATAATGATTACCTGGGCAAAAACCAAAATTGCTCAATTTTTCTATGGTAATTGGCGGGATATGACATTATCCATATTCTATAAAACAATGTATGGGAAAGCATAGGAAATGGTTTTGGATTTCAGGTTTGTATGATAAATATACGGGATATTCTATTAAACGGTATGATATTAAGTTGGACCCACTGTTATTACGCAGTCACAAATCAACTTTGTCAACTCGACTTCCAAAGTTGACTATCAAACTTTGCTAAATTCTGCGTTCGCTGAAATATAACTGTTTTCTCGGATTATTTAGATGAGTAGTGCGGAAAATCTGAAAATAAGAAACTGAACTTTATGTTTAATAGAAAAGCTTCCTGTGCATGATATAATATTCTGCCTAGGGTAATTGTGAGCATTAGGAACTGCAAGTACTTGAATTATGTATTAACATAGTGTATACAGTCAAACAGAAACTGTTTGTTGCTGACCAAGGGGATGAAGATCAGTGGGCTCTGCATTGTTTTTCTCCTGGTCCTCTTGACCATGTGATCTCTCATTGTTAGAGACGACCTCGCCTTGAACTGGTTCCTGTGGTGTCTGACGACATGGCTGCTTTTCACTGGGTCTAGAGTACTGGACAGTCTCCCTGTCACTGGTGGTGGTGGGAGAGCTGAGCTGGTGGTGACGAGCTCAATCTCAGCATATGTTCCAATGAACTAGTGAGAGTATAAAAGAGTTTATGAGCATATGAAACATACTCACAGTCTGAAAACCTTCACTGAGTGTACTGTTGAGACTCTGGTATCACTCACACGAATGATTATTGTGCTAATGGGAATAGGGAATTGTCCCTAAAAATTACTCCATAAGTTTCTCTCATCCAACCAGCTAATGTAATGTAAATGTTTAAGTCCAAACTTGACTGTGCTAATGAAACACTACAGCAGAAATGTGTGCACACACAGCAGAGGAAGAAGTAATGAGGAAACACACATAACTTCCTACTGTATATACACTCACCTCAAAAATGATGGTTCTAATTAACACCTAGCCTTAGCACTTGTGTCCTCTTAATAATTATAAAAAGACATACACCCAAAAAATATTCCTGAGGTGAAGAATGATAGTGAAATGCACTAACTTACTGTGATAAACGTTAGACCTAGTTTGTTGAAGCTCACATTATCGCTACTAAAATGCTTATAATCTCACATTATCTGCGGAGTTGCAGTCGACCTGTGTTCATTACTGTGCTGTATTGACCTGTACAGTCTCGCTCTAAATACTTTCTGGTAGCTGTAACCTGCAACAAGGAACAAAAGTGTGAAAATTACAACAGTGCCATGTATAGGGAAACAATCAGGCCATTCGAACAGCTGGGTGTGTTCTGATGCATTCTTTCAGATCTAGGGGAGCCAGACCCTCTCTAAAGAAAGATCAGTGACTTTCCTGTTGCTGCAAGTTTTACAGTTCAGTCTTTAAATGGGTATTCACACACACAGGCCCAGTAAGTGAGTAAACTGTAGGGTCTGCCCAGCAACGTAACAGATAGCTATTATGTAATCTTTCCCCATTTATGATGATTTGGACTTAAACCTACCTGCTGTGATAATGTCTTTCTACCACGTGAATAGTAGCTCACGGAAAATCACGTGTAGCTACTTGCTGGATGGTGCCAATAAAAACCGAGCCTTATGGAAAAATAAAGCTTATAATAATTGTAACTCGTGGGATCACAGCAGCAGAACAAGTCAGCAACTGCGAAGTTACATTACAAGACTTTCTCCCTCTTAAGATAGACAGTAAACTACTCTCATACCGGGATATAGGAGTATTCCACAGGTGCTGGGGTTGGTGCTGGGGTTCCATTATTGCTGTGCAGGTCAATTCTAGTATTAGTCCCACTTTTCACCATTCTAAGAAAGAATCATTTTTGTTAAAAGCCAGAGGTTTTAGGTGTAGCTACCTGATATTTGTAGAAATGGTGAGATTTCTTTTTTGACCCTGTTAAAATAATTATTACAGACAAGTTTAGAATCAATACTCTCATCAACTAACTGTGTTTTCGAATAAGGTATAAAGACAATGCTGTCACCAGCGTTGTTACAATAAGGAGAAAGACCCCAATTCCAATAAGACCTGCTAGCTCCAACAATGAACAGCAAAGGCCACCATTAGAGCCACCATTAGAGCCATCAGGGGTAGCTTCATTATTATCTGTGGCTACAAAATAGTAAAGTTTAATGATGAGCAAAGAATCAGGTAGCTAGCTAGTTACACTAAACCTTGATCATACTGTATCTCAAGTGGAAATAAATCACTGTATCCTGCACAGTTGTGAGCTGAGATATTCACTGACAGTGTAGTATTGTACATGATGTCAAAACTGTAAGTGGGTCCAGTAGTTTCCAACTGTGTGCCATTGTCCACTTGAATAATGTAGTGATCAATTGGAACTCCTCCTCCATCAAACATAGTTCCTAGCTCTAGTAATGCTGTGAAGTATGTCCCTTTCTCTTGGTATGAAGAGAAATTATTATTATTCCAACGAGGTATATCTGAAAAGAAAAGTTAACAAGAGCTTAAGCTTCAAGAATGTAACAGACCAGCAAAGTAGAAAATGGATGATGACTTGGTTATAACATTTTCCTCCGTTGGTGTCAGGCAAGTGATGTTTGTCTTATTAGGTAATCTATGAGCTGTGATTGTAAGCGTAGTGGTCATATCTGCTGCTACTGCCATTATCATTCTTTCCAGTGACCTCTGAGAGGTTGGCAGAAATCATATCCATGTAAACCGTCTCCTGGGATCCAACAGGTTGGCTGGAGGTAAAATTTATCTGCAGAGCATCCTTCTCAGCGTACAGATCCAGTTCCCACCGAGTAGCAACTATATCGCTGCCATGACAAGTGAAAGTGACTGTCTCATTTGGACAAGCATAAACTGATTCAGGATGCAGAGAAGGCTGGCCAAGTATAACCCCTGTGAATCATTACTACTGAACTAGGTTTATGTTCAGATTACTTTACCTTTTAACAGCAGTTTACTGAAGAGAATGAACAGAAGAAGAAACCTCATTATTGCCGAGTGCAATAGCGCGAGGCAACTAGACGCGTGCTTACGAGACCAAAACGAAGTCAAACTTTCTTCTACTCGTCCCTCGAAATTTAACGTCGCTAAGTTGGGCGTGGGTGCGTGCGAGTACGGGGCGGTGGCTAGCAAAGCTATTCGATTGGACACGCGCATGCGCGGCGAGTGCATTCCGTGTGGGCAAGGTGTCGTGTGTAAGAAATGAATGAAGCATAGCTATGTCACATGATTTGTAAGTTGAACCAAACAGTAAATTTTTGAGTGCTCAGTGTTTTTCCCAGCCAAAATATTTGTAACATCATTGCTTAACAGCAGCACTGTCAACAGTCTCATACACAGGAACTGGAGATGGTGTTTGTGTCTTGTGTAAGTGTCCCTCATTTGACAGCATCCTCATCTCATACAGTGGGTTGTTCTCCATGTTGTAGTCTGGCTCCAGTCTATCACCAACTGAGCCTCGAACATGGACACCATAAGCAGAGTTCTCCACCACATCACACTTCTCTTGCTGTCTGTTTTTATTAGCACTACCTAATGAAATGAAAACACAAGTGCAAACCCTCGGCAAACTGCGCCCTCGCGGTACCACTAATAGTTGATGGCCTGGGCTTTTATTATGCGTTTACTCGTGGTCTCAACGCTGGTATAGCTCGCGGAGAGTCTGACACGGTGTAGCTACAGTAGTAGATAGCATGCGGGAGTCGATACACGCCCTTCGTTGTGACTTCTAGCAAGCGGACCCGGTCGATGTGCTAATTTGCATATTGGCTTGTTCACTTACTTTTCACGCCATAACTTTTGAACGCCGTAGTTATACGAAAATCGCCTTTTTTAAAATGAAGCCAGTGTAGCGATGAACACGTTAGTATCGCTGTTACGCCGCCTGGTAGCCTGTAGTGCGAGAACTCGCGTGGACAGACGGACGGACAGACAGACAGACAGAGAACCATGAAGTACCGTACCCACGGCACATAACCCGTAACATGAGTGGGTGCTGTGGTTGATATTACAATGAAAAGCACACCCTCGGCGAACTGCGCATGAGCGATACTGCTAATTGATGGGCTGGGCTATTTGTATACGTTTACTCCTGGTCTCCCGCTAGTAGCTCGCGGAGAGTCTGACACGGGATAGCTACAGTAGTAGATAGCATGCGGGAGTCGATACATGCCATTCGTTGTGACTTCCTGAGCCTCCAACGTACACAGAGCGAGCGGATCAGGTCGCGGTAAGCCCAGTGCAGGGCTGGAGCAAGCAATTTTTGAGTGCTCAGGCCAACCGGAGCGTGATGACGCGCGCGAAGCGCGCCCACTAGGGGGGTCTTGTATGGGGTGCCGTTTGTGTCAACGACGCGTAAGGGTGGGATTTACTAAATGAGAAAAGAGATGGAAGGGTTAAATGTCCATGGCGCGAATCGATGGAAAGGTTGGAATTTATAGTGAAGCTGTGAAGGGAGGGGATTTACTAAGTATATATCCATTGTTGAGCATCAAAAGAGAGGGGATTTAGTAAATACTCTCATGGTAGACTGAAGGAAATGAAGGGAATTTACTAATTCCACCGAAAATCGGTAAATATCCGCTCTCGTGATAAATGTCAGCAGAAAATAATTTTGACACAAACGGCACCCCATAGTCTTGGGGCATGCTCCCCAGGAAAATTTTGAAATTTAGGACATTCTGAGTGTTTATGGTGCAATAGGGCAAATAATAATTATGGCCTCTTGCCGGGCCTACATAGTCAAGTACATACATAGATCAACAACTTGAAAAGGCCGCGAGGTGGCACCGCTGGCTATTATCTTTAGCACTGTCCCCGCCGCGCCGATCCGACGATAGACCGTTGCCGCTGCCGCGCCACGAGACGCCACACCCTCTTAATCGTCACATGTGCATTCGCATGCGCATCCAATCACATAAAAGTGGTCCGGCCGTACCGGCGACGCCAGCCCTGCAGTGCGATTATGCATAGCTATTGGCCTTTTCGCTTGTTTTCACGGCATATCTCTCGAACGTAGTTGTTTCAGAAAATCGCCTTTTTATTTTTCAGGGTCGTGTAGTTCTGAAGCCGCTGGCTAATAGGCCGCCTCGTAGCCTGTATATTATAGTGCCAGATATATAAGCGTCGACATACAGACAGACAAACAGACAACCAACAAACTGTAACCCTCGCTGCGCATGCGCGCCGAGGGTTAATTATGCTTGCTTGACAAAAACAACTTACTGTGCCTTTTAAGGAAAACAATGAGTAAAACGGATATTGTGATGACAAGAAGTGTCGCAGCAGCTGATGCAGGTACCACAATCACAAGAACTGAGAAACCATCAGATGAACCATCAGTGTCAGGCCTTGATGTCATACTATCCACCTCTTTATCCAAATCTGTGTAGGATTACCTCTTGTAATAATAATATAATTATAATATGTATAATATACTTTTATGATACTCAATCCAAAGTGAGAGAAGATCACTGTATCCTGCACAGTTGTGGGCTGAGATGTTCACTGACAGTGTAGTATTGTACATGATGTCAAAACTGTAAGTGGGGCCTGGAGTTTCAAACTGTGTGCCATTGTCCACTTGAATAATGTAGTGATCAATTGGAACTCCTCGTCCATCAAACATAGTTCCTAGCTCTAGTAATGCTGTGAAGTATGTCCCTTTCTCTTGGTATGAAGAGAAATTATTATTATTCCAACGAGGTATATCTGAAAAGAAAAGTTAACAAGAGCTTAAGCTTCAAGAATGTAACAGACCAGCAAAGTAGAAAATGGATGATGACTTGGTTATAACATTTTCCTCCGTTGGTGTCAGGCAAGTGATGTTTGTCTTATTAGGTAATCTATGAGCTGTGATTGTAAGCGTAGTGGTCATATCTGCTGTACTGCCATTATCATTCTTTCCAGTGACCTCTGAGAGGTTGGCAGAAATCATATCCATGTAAACCGTCTCCTGGGATCCAACAGGTTGCCTGGAGGTAAAAATTATCTGCAGAGCATCCTTCTCAGCGTACAGATCCAGTTCCCACCGAGTAGCAACTATACCGCTTCCATGACAAGTGAAAGTGACTGTCTCATTTGGACAAGCATAAACTGATTCAGGATGCAGAGAAGGCTGGCCAAATACAATCCCTGCGAATCATTACTACTGAACTTGCTAGGTTTATGTTCAGATTACTTTACCTTTTAACAGTAGTTTACTGAAGAGAATGAGCAGAAGAAGCCTCATTATTGCCGAGTGCAATAGCGCGAGGCAACTAGACACGTACTTACGAAACCAACAGGAAGTCTATCTTTCGTCTACTCGTCCCTCGAAATTTGACTTTCCATTCCTCGTTAAGTTGGGCGTGGGTGCGTGCGAGTACGGGGCGGCGGCTAGCGAAGCTATATTATACTCGATTGCACAATAACTAGTAGGCGAATGCATGGCATTTTTGGCGAGCGGAAGCGCGCTTACAATTGGGGTCTAATCGTATGAGTCACTCTTGTGTGTGCACAAAACAGTGAGATACATTGCACAGGACCAAGTAGGCCGAAACGACCCGAGCGCAGTAGACAATTCGAGTCGAGTCAAAAACAGTCAGACGACAGCGCGAATCAGGCATAATCCGGCAATCTGATTGGTCTAGGGAACAAGTGGCAATGTAGAAAAATCTGTCGCTGGACTGTGCAGCAATACTCGACAGCTTCGGAGGTGTTGCGTTTCCCCTGATTCCGCTCAGCATTATGAAAATGTTGAAATCCCTTTCGGATAAAAAGAAGCGCGTAATGCTGGAGCATGCGCAGTTGGACGACGTACGGTGACATATATATACCAGTGGAAAAATCATTTCTTCATAATGAAGGGGGATGTAGGGATGGCGACAGACACATGACAACTATAGTAAACCTCGCTGCAAATGCGGTAATAATGTACAGTATGGTGTGTGACAAACTATGTACCTACCCCTGGTCAGTGCTGCCAATAGCACACCAATTTTATGGAAAGCATGCACATATTGTACGGGCACACACATATGCACATATACAGGCACACAAAGGCACATGTCCCGCGCACGTATGCTGTGGCGATCTTTCTCTCTGCCGCGCACAGCCTCTGTGCCTGCCTTTCAGCCTGCTCAGACATTTATGACATGTCTCACTCAATCCGGACCTTGTTGCTATTTTTTAGAGTACTGGAAGGGTAGACGAAAGCAACATCAAAGCTCTGACCACCACATCCAAGTACCGACCGACCACTTCTGAGGATGCGTGGGTGGTTTTTACGAGATAATGCCGCCATGCCGCCCGCCTACCGGGTCAGAGTTCACAATTGTGCGAGTTTTGTTGACATTTCTAGAAGTGTGTAAATTTAGCTATACCCATTAGCTATACCCATTTCTAGAAGTGTGTAAATTTAGCTATACCCTTTTGTGACCAAATAAGGACAATTTAAGAACAAACATTTGAGTAGAAACGACAACTTACGATGTCTGTAGATTATCAGTAAGGGGATGACAATGGAGTGTATTGTGATGACTGCAAGTGCACAAGCAAATACAGCTAGTACTACTATTCTAACAACTGAGAAATCACTAGAAGGACTCCGGGTATAGTAGGACTTTGTGTCATACTGGGTGAACGGTGTACCACTGAATCTGTGGATGGTACAATGCTTTTGGAACAGAATGTTTCATCTTCATTATACTCAATCTGTACTCGAAAGAAATCACTGTATCCTGCACAGTTGTGGGCTGAGATGTTCACTGACAGTGTAGTATTGTACATGATGTCAAAACTGTAAGTGGGGCCTGGAGTTTCCAACTGTGTGCCGTTGTCCACTTGAATAATGTAGTGATCAATTGGAACTCCTCCTCCATCAAACATATCTCCTAGCTCCAGTACTGCTGTGAAGTATGCCTTCCTCTCTTGGTATGCCTGTAAGCTTGGTATAGCTGTATTTCAATAAATCTTTAAGTGGCAAACCTGTTAAATACAATGTTGATGATGACTGAGGTTACTGTAAGTCTCTTGTTATCACTTGACAGGAGATGTTTGTCTTATTCTGTATCCCATACGCTATTATCATTAGACTAGTAGTCATGTCTGCCACACTCCCATTCAACCTCGTGACATTGGTTAGGGTAGCAAAGAATTTATCCTCACGATTCATGTGTATAGCAACGAGCAATTCTGCAGCATACTGAATTGGGTCTGCCAAGGGAATGTAAGGTGGTACTTTCCACGCAATTACACTAATCTGACTTCCATGACAATAGTATGTCACAGTCTCATTTGGACAGGCGTGGATAGACAGAGGATATAAAGTTGGTTGTCCCCATACTAAGGATGAACAAAACTTTTTATTAATGACAAAAATGTATTATGCTCACCTGTCAGTAAGACTGCGCTATAGAAGATAAGAAAGATTACCATCACGGTGAACCTTTGAAGGACCTCTCCTTGCCCTCAAAGGGTCAGTTTCCAACTGTCAGAGAAGCTAAACACTTAGCTATGACGCCACCGGGAGATATCGCATGACCGGAAGCAATTTCAGCGTGCCAGAATGCCAACCGCTCAGACGCAGTCCTGCTTTGCTATGATCGAGAGCTAGGGGAGGGGCCATTGAGGTTTCGAAACCTAGGTTTGCCTGCATAATCTGCGCGGAGGTGCGGACCGCCGGAGGTAGCAGTGCGGGCCGACGCCGCAAGCAGTATACTGCGGACAGTCTTGGGGGAACGTCTGGCCCCACGAAACGATCGTATCAGGTGGCTTTGGCTTTAGGGCTAACGTGCAAATCCCTTTGCCTACGCGCTTTAGCTAAAACGTGTTTTTTTGACAACACGCGCTATTGATCTACGCTATAGCGCACATAGCTACGGCACTAAAGGACAGCTGGTCCACGCGCAATTTTATGGAGCGCCATAATTCACGTTTGTAAACCAAACATCAGACTACCCATTTTCGACACTGTTTACAAAATCATTGGATAAAATACAGCTAAATCGTTGCATGGATATAGCTAAAATAGTTAGATAGATATGGCAAAATCGTTTCATGGATATTATACGTCAGCCCGCAGTGCAGGATTTCCCCTCTCGGCTATTATCATTGGCCATTCCAATTGGTTCAGTCGCTAGTCCATAAAAGACCTTTGCGCGTGTTTTATGTTTGTGCCAGGAAAACGACAGTCAAGCGTAATGATACAATTACTTATCTTCTATAGCGGAGTCTTACTGACAGGTGAGCCTAATACACTTTTGTCAATAATAATAAGTTTTGTTCATCCTTAGTATGGGACAACCAACTCTGTATCCTCCGTCTATCCATGCCTGTCCAAATGAGACAGTGGCATACTATTGTCATGGCAGTCAGATCAATGTCATAGCTACCACCTTACATCACGCAGAGAAATCACCCCATATACAGTACGTTTCAGATGCTCCTGGAGGAATACTCACAATATAGGTGAATCGTAAGGATATATTCTTTGCTACCCTACCGTCACGAGGTTAAATGTAAATGAGAGTGTGGCAGACATAACTACTAGTCTGATGATAAGCACATATGGAATAGAGAATAAGACAAACATTACCTGTCGAGTAACAACAAAAGACTTTCAAGCACTCAAGTCATTATCAACATTGTATTTGACAGGTTTGCCACTCTGAAAATGTTATTTTGAACTTAGCTAACTAATGGTTTTTTGTGTACCCAACTTCAAGGCACCCTCAATCACATACCAAGAGAAGGAGACATATTTCACAGCAGTAGCTACTAGAGCTAGGAGACATGTTGGTGCATCTGTCTTGCTTCACGAAAGGAAAGCTGTGCGCTGACAGAAGGTTATGCAGCCCGAACATCGCGGGCAAATCCCAAGTTGGGTCGCTCCTGCTCGCCAACAATGTTCAACATTTCCACTAGTTGTTAACCCTCGTCGCGCATGCGCAGCGAGGGTTACAGTAGTTCGTTTGTCTGTGTGTCTGTCTGTCTGTGTGGCGACGCCTACAGGCTACGAGGCGGCCTATTAGCAATACCAGCGGCTTCTGGAAAAGTTTTTATACAAACAAAATCACTAACGAATTATCTGTTTCAATATTCTAATATCCATGTTCTATTGCTAAATTGCAAAGCTCAAAGTTACCAAAAATGAATTGCCACAATATACACTCACCCGGTGACCACCAGGATTGACCAATATGCCACTAATGAAACCAGGAAGAAAGAAGACACTTTCTACGCACAAGATATCACATGTCTGACCTATAGAGGTGGATAGCTACCCACTGGTGTCCTCTTCAATCCTCTACTTGCAGGTAATGATATGAAAGTGACTGTGTAGCTATTGCTGTGCTTCTTTACATCTCCCTTTCGTTGGAAAACACAACATCAGTGATAATATGCCTAGAGATAACACGCAGCAGTACTAGTGCTAGGAGATATGTGTTGATGGAGGAGGAGTTCCAATTGATCACTACTTAAGTGACAACGGCACACAGTTGGAAACTCAGGCCCCACTTACAGTTTTGACGTCTGTCAGTGAACATCTCAGCCCACAACTGTGCAAGGATACAGTGATCCCTTACCACTTGAGACACAACTATATGAGTTACGTATAGGTTATACGATGTGGGCGCGTGGTATACTGGTTGTAGTGGCCTGCGCCCTCGTGCCCTATCAAAACTGAAGCCACGAGTGTGCAACCAGTAAACCACAAGCAGAGCCATCGTACGTATAACGTGTTTGTATGATGACATTGGCGGTAAGGCTATGGAGATGCGCAAAAGCTTTCAAAACGCCTCTTTCTAACGCACCCCTCGAGTGTACTAAAGTCTATTCGCGTTCACCTTGCCGGTAGGAAATCTGCCGTAATGTAGCTAAACAGCGACCGAGTTCGAAATTTCAAAGCGCAGCGTGGTTGTAGTGAGCGTAGGTCTGCTTGACGAGCGCGTCCAACGCCCCACTTACGTACTTAGCTGTATGTCACATAAGCAAAGTACGCGACGCGTTCCTTGACCACGAAAAGATGCAATCACGTGGGTCCAATGTGCGCGCTTACACGTAGAGTATGCGCGCGTAGCGCAGCGCGCGAGCAAGAACCCTCTCTCCCGCCCGCAACTGCGGGAGCCCAGACCAAGGAAAAGGCAAAAAGAATGAGAGGTTTGTTGTTAAATACGTCTTACTAGAAAAACTCACGGAACCACACGTTCAACGCAACGCGCGGCATAGCGTACATCCACCACCACAAATATCGCGATATTTCAATTATGACGCAACCTTGTGTAAACAGTTTTGACTAGTGCACTTCCGGCGGCAAGGGTGAACGCGAACAGACTTTAGCTAGCGATCGATCCGGGAGGGCGGACAGCCGCAAAGCGCTTAGTGTTGTCAAGCTCGGCGGTTATTTCCTTGTGTAAGTGTTGATATGCGTGAATGTGGCGATTGCCGATGAAACGACTGCGTTCCAGAGATATGGCGTGGGTGACGATGAAAACCAAGCGAAAAAGCCAACTGCGCGGTCGCGATCGCGCACGCGCCCTCTCGTGCAGGCGAGGCGCCTAACCGGCGAATGACTGGTGGATAGATGGTGCTTCGACTGCTGTATATTTCTAAGGCGTCTCTAGCCTAGCTCTGTGACTGACACTGTTGTGTTCGTGTGTATGGCGTGGGAGACCTCCGACGGGTGTGGGGTGCCTACCGGGGAGTTCGAGGAGCAACAGGCAGCTGCTAGACGCGGCACAAGTGGCGTATGTAGCGTGGCCGTCACGGTGGATGGGAGACCCTTTGGCTCGTGTTGCGACACAGTCTGTGATTGTATCTCACCTCTGCATCGCCCCCGCACCTGATCTACGGTGTTGGTATGAGGGTTCCACAGGAAGTCAACGTGAGTGCTTCACCCGCTAAGACACGAACACGTGGCATCTGTTGGGCTGTCATGGCGGGGATGTGGTAGCCCCTGGTTCTGCTGCAGCAGGCTCGCGCAGATATGTTTACATATATATTCATGATGTTTTATTCACTTACAGCAGAAAATCCAAGATGCGTAGCAATATCTCGTAGAATAAAAGACGCACGGCTGCAGATATCGCTGTGCGCGCGCAACCCGCGTTTGTAAACTTGGTCCGTTTTCTCCCGTTTTATATATGAGAGTACGAAGTTCAAAGTGCGCTTTTAGTTAGCTGAACTTTCAGTGGAAAGGTTGTGGAAAGATCGTTGCTACAGCCCGCGCGACCGTGGAGCGGCAGCACCTTGACTTTGACAGGTACGTATGTCGCTTATAAGCGACAGCGGCGTTGCCAGCGCGCGCGGATCTGTCGCGTATAGGCGACAACGGCGTGTAATCGGTTAAAGCATTTGCTATGTTTTCTCTATCGGTATCCATCAATTTAGAAATTCAAAAACACATCAAGATGTGGAGACATACGACTACGTCACAGCACTACTGGAGCTGGAAGATATGTTTGATGGAGGAGGAGTTCCAATTGATCACTACATTATTCAAGTTGACAGTGGCACACAGTTGGAAACTCCGGGCCCCACTTACAGTTTTGACATCATGTGCAATACTACACTGTCAGTGAGCATCTCAGCCCACAACTGTGTAGCATGCAGTGATTTCTTTCAACTTCAGATACAGTATGATCAAGGTGGAGTTTTTTGTGAAATATAATTTTACCTAACACAGTACTCAACATATTTTCTGGAGGAATGTATACCCAATATGATACCAAGACCAGTCACTGAGGGTTCCTTATATACTTCTTGTGATTTTGGTACCTGTATCAGCTGCTGGGGCACTTCTTATCATTATAATAGCTAAAAAGTACATGTAAGTTGTCAAAGTGTTGATTATGTGTTAAATTCATAGGTATTAACTCTGCTTATGGTGTCCATGTTCAAGACTCAGCTGGTGATAGACTGGAGCCAGACTACAACATGGAGAACAACCCACTGTATGAGATGGGGATACTGTCAAATGAGGGACACTCACACAAGACACAAACACCGGCTCCAGTCCTTGTGTATGAGACTGTTGACAGTGTTGCTCTATAACACTTGTCTTTTTCTATTGTTGAGAGTATCAATACTGCTATGTTTAACAAATAGTTCGCTACATTACAAAACCTTTTAGCTTAGTATATACCTCGTCCTGGCAAACAGCGCAGTCCTGATTAGGCCACTCCAAATTGCATTCTGCTTTCTGGTCAGGGCCTTTTCAAGTCAAGATGGGTGCTGGCATGTTTTACTCATTAGTCCACATTAGTAATATTATTATGACCATAGTGGGAAGGCAGCCAAAACAAAAAAGAGGAGACCAGTACAAAGCCATTAGTACAAACAGCGCAGCATGCGCAAATTAGGCGTTCTTTTGCGGGCGGCGGACTAGAAACTTGTATAAGTACAACGTGGAGTGCCCTTACCGATATGGTAGTGTCAACCAGTTACTATAGCTAACTATACCTAAAATGAAAGCGCAAACCTCCTCGCGGCGCAAGCGACGTGGCTTTACTCGCGGCGCCCGAAGCGCAAAGCGGCGTGTCGATGATGACTCCACCTCCTTCGACATAGTTGCGGTTCGGGCTCCGCCGCGCCGCGGAGGCTAACGTGACGCGTGTTCTCGGCCAATCGGAACATTTTTACTCTCCGAAATTCGAAGTTTGGTTTAAGAAAAGGTTCTGGTAGAAGAAATCCGGCCAAATGCGACAGAGAAATATCGGTTACCATTTCCTACTCATTGGACTCTTGTTTCACGGTGAGATTCTGGGCCGTGTTCTATCTGCCATCTACACAAGGCGATTATGTACTGGAGAGCCAGCTCTGCAACCACTGTCTTTTCATTCCTGTCCCAATGAATCTGTGATGTTTACATGTATTGACATCCAGGTGTCTGTCATGAAGTGGAAGGTGGAACCTCGTCCAATGGGTGTTGATCTGACTTATATTCCTTCCCAAATGATGGCAGACCCAGGAAAGCTGACAATGAATAGCACCGACAATGTTCTCTTCTCAACTCTTGTACATTTCGATAGAATTGATGAGAATTTTGCAAACATGACAATTAGTCTAACAGTGGCAACATCTGGCATGAGAAATGGAACAAATGTCACTTGCATTACTTTAGTTGGGAATGATGTGTGTAACATGACTGCTACCATCTATGTTACAGGTTAGGTGAGCATAACCAGAGGTAGGCTTTGGATAATCTTGTGTTGCATCTTTTTCAGATGTGCCTAAATCTATTAAAGCAGTAGGTCGTTGTAAACCGAGAGAAGGACACAGTAGTACTAGAGCTAGGAGATATGTTTGATGGAGGAGGAGTTCCAATTGATCACTACATTATTCAAGTGGACAATGGCACACAGTTGGAAACTCCAGGCCCCACTACAGTTTT